GATCGAGTTTGCCTCTCAAACTCCCTATCTTCTCAGATTGATTCTTCCTCTAGACTCATCTACTTTTGTTGTTGCTTAGGCATTTACAGATACCATGATTGCATCAGGCACCCTCTCATGCGCGTCACAACTCACGATGCGTTGCCAACCAGATCAAGCCGTCTCGGCAGCTCTTGTTCCCGAATAAAGGTCGCCAACTTCCTCACTCCATCCTTGCAACCTCCAATTGATGCGCCATCTCTAAGCTTTAAATCGACGACTGTCGTCTGCAGTCGAAGCTTCGCCAATCCCATGCCATAGGCCATGCCTCCACGGTTCACTGGGCCCAGCCCAACAGCTTCTCCGCTTGCCACACCAACCCACCACCAAGTAGACTGGTTGTTGGCCCCAAATACATGTTGCGCCCTGATCTCCTAAGACATTGTTGCAACTTCTTGGGCAGCCAATGCCCTCTATTGTTCCCACTGCTCGTCCCCAGCTAGCTCCACTCAAAACTCCTCAAGACACCCTCTGGTCTACAAGCACCACCTCGCCATCTCAAGGAGGCCGGTCCCCATGCCATAGGCCATGCCTCCACGGTTCACTACACCTAGCCCAATAGCTTCCCCGCTTGCCGCACCAATCCACCACCAAGTAGATTGGTTGTTGGCCCCAAATACATGCTGCGCCTTGATCTCCTAAGACATTATTGCGACTTCTTGGGCAGCCAATGCCCTCTATTGTTCCCACTGCTCGTCCCCAGCTAGCTTCGCTCAAAACTCCTGAAGACACCCTCCGGTCTACAAGCAGCCCCTCCCCATCTCAAGGAGGCCGGTCCTCGCTGGTCATTGCCTCCGCTGGCTAGCTAGCGGCTAGCTGCTACATGCCTACTACCCCATATGTGGCTCTCTGTGCTGCTATTAGCATGCCACTCTCCTACTACAGTTGCCCGTGTTTTGATGCCAGCGTTGATAGGTGCTCTTTCAAGGCATATTTATTTTATTGAGTCCCATGTCTTCGATGCCCGACATCGTTTCTCTTATTGTCCGCTGATTCTTGACATTGACCATTTTGCCAACTCCGTCTCACACATGCACCTTCCATCAAGTGGGTGTCCATCCATTAGTTGCCATTCAACACTACTCTTTTTACATCCCACCTGCATGGCTTCCTTCATGATCCCCCTACAAACACAATGGGCCCCTACATCATTCTCTCGTGAGTGCTTCCTAGCTTCTGCTTTCTCTTTTTTGCTGGGTTCACCACATTCGTTGCTCGTTCGTGTTTATCATGCCATGTGAGTACACCAAATCTTTATCCGTCAGTCTTCTTTTTTCCAGGTCATGGTCCTAGTCCTTTCCAGTAAAACTTATGTGGCTTTTCTCCCCAATAAAAACCCAAATTGCGAATCAAGGGAGCAGTGAATTTGGTAACTATGGGTAATAGTCCCAACTAACACATGCATATCCTTAACACTTTATGCCACTAATTTACCGATAAATCAGTATAAACTATTTATATGGGCTTGTGAACATTATGGTCTGATGACCAAAACTGACATCTTAGTTCTACATTTTATGACATTAGTCAAACCCCTACCAAAAGTATCAAGGCCCTTGGGAGGGTGCTACAGAAAAGCAAGCTACCATTCGAGTCATTATAGAAGCTCAAGAAACAACCTTTACAAAGTGATACTCATAAATCAAGAAGCCTACATTTGATTCCATTTATTTACTTATAATTGACGAAAGCAACATGGTGAGTGCCATGAGGTTATTTTTGTGCATTATACTTGATTACTAG